TATTACCTCTAGATCATCGGGGTGTCTGATAGATACCACGTACTCAAAGAATGACCACATTTTCCAAACAGAGTATTTGGCACTTAAAATCTTTAGAAGCTTCCAAAGATCTTCTGAAAAATGCATGTATTTCGAATACATAAATATTATAAGTACATAGAAAATTGTAAAATTAGTTTTATTTAGTATTTCTAATATTTATATTTTATAACGTTTTACTTACGAGTAGATATAGTGGAAAGAAACAATAATAATTTATGAAATAAATATTATAAAAGAGTAGGGATGCGTGAAATTGCCGGATATCCGAAAAGAATGTAACATCGGATATCTGGTATTCGGATATCCAGGAAAGTAATTTTTATCGGATATCCGATAGTTTTCGGATATCTGACCGAATTTCGGGACGTTTTTAAAAAAAAAAAATCTGTAGAGAAAATATTTTAATTTTGCAACGATATATAAAATATTATAGCATTATAAGTATACATATTTATATATGGAACATTTATATAATAAAAAATCAACAATTTAATGATATAAAATTTCAACCGGATATATTCTCGGATACTAATGATATCTGACTATCCGATTGTAAAAAGTTCCGGATAATACCAGATATTTTTCAGATATTCGGTATATTTCTATAAAAGAATATTGATAAATTTATACAATTATTAAAATTATTTGACAATATTATTTAAAATGAATAATAATAACGATAATTTTATTTTCTAATATTAATTAATCGAAAATTATATTAAAAATTATAATTTACCTCTTGAAACTAGTAGTAGTAATGTATTACCAATAATTGGATAACCTGGTGGTCCTGGTATATTATTAATAAGTCGTCCTATTGATCCATATTGCACATAATAATGGTATATCAAATATACAATAGGAATGAGTAATAAGAATATACTAATAAACATCTTTGTTGTAATGACTGTTCTAATCGGATTTTCTTCAGCTTCGAATTCCTGCATTGAACGTATTGCAAAATATTAAATATTATGTATTTAAATTAAATCTTTGTTGTTTTGATAAAGTTGACGAATTTATTTAATTATTAACAAATAAATTTATCTAAATACATTTTCTGAATAAAACATGTATTGAAATACTGAAGATAAAAACATTTAATTAATATATTTTTTCTATTTCTATGTTAGAAAATGTATGAACGTAACAATTATACGAATCTTACAAAAGATTTTAAAATTGATCTTTTTTTTTTAATAGTATTCATTGTACTTTATTGTAATTATTATTGAAGATGTTTTCAAAATATTTATAATTGTGTATTACACGCGCGATTGCGTAATATTATACGTAATCTGTACAAGTAAATTTTAAGTATTTTCAAGAAATATTTTGTTTCTATATAGTGTTACTTTATGAAAAACTGTCTATTGACACTTGAAAATGACTATTTGCTCGTTTTTTATTTTTTTTCTGACTTATTTGCATAAATAAGCTCGTATTTATAAGCACGTTTCGTTGAACTTGACTAACTCACGACACTTGAAATATAAACTTTTAAGCATGATTTATTAGATAAATTTTGATCATTAATATTTATTATAATCGAAAGATCCCAGGTTCAAACTCTATCTAACTCTGAGATAATATTTTTCGCAATTTTTACAGTTTTTCTAATTTAATTTAGGGAGGATTATATTGTTCTACAGACTGATTATGTTGGAAATCCGAGAAATTATTGATCGCGCAATATCTGAAAAAATTGATTTAATAAAGAATTTATACTGTATTATTCGAAACATCTAACTTTGACCATTTTCTATCGTATTCGATTTATCATAGTATTTGTCATTCGTCACTTTTATAAATACGATTCAAATAAGAAACTCAGATGTTGTTTTCATATGTAATGTTGACTTGACTTCAGCATCCAACATAGTACAATGAAACCAGAAAAGCAATATGGCGTCAAAATCGATTCAAATCGAGCGTAGTTATGATCATGATGGAAGAATATGGTTAGTTGTGCTCAATTCAGTTCTCATTAGTTCCTCAGTTGTCATGAGTTATGCTTTACAAGTGTTTATCCATCTTATCAAAAGATGAAGAAAGAAAGAATTTATCTTATCAAAAATATTCCAGCGTTCTTAGTAGTTTATTGGTCAGAGGAAAAGATTTCACAGAACCTTCCGTGAAATCTTTTCCTCTAAGTAAAGTAAAACTAAGAAATGAAACATAATGTTGTTAAAAGAAGCGGCCGTCATATACTTAGAGAACAGAATCTAATGGTTACTCACCAAAACTGATGCATTACGTTCATTCGCATTCATTAGTCAATCCAATACGTTATAAACAATCGAACGCATTAAATTATTAATACCTAGTATGTAATTATAATCCAAAAGCTGTTTTTTCTGTCGAAAAATGTAACGCAATGTAATGTTTACTCTACAATTGCACTGACGCAAATAGCTTGTGCAAATAGCTGATACGAATACATAAGAATCCTATTTATCTTTTTTATTAACTAGAATCTCTTTTTCTAAGAGATAGATAAACACATTCGTTCAATCGTACATGAATAATGTAGAGTTCTACGTCAAGACTCACTCGAACTGTGAATATAAATATGCGAACAATTGCGATAATTAATTTGCTACTACGATTTTTTCTAT